GATGATTTCTAAGTGGAAATTGATTATGATGCGTATTCTAATTTATATGTATAACGGGTTTGATGGTTTGGAGAATAAAGGCGCACACATAATTCGAGATATTTAATGATTAATGTCTTTGTCTTTTGACTCTTTTTGGATTGATGAGGGAGATTCTTGAAGCTACTAGGTCTCTCTATCTCTTTTGCTTATTTTCTTAAAACACAAAAAGTCTTTATTAATGACTGTTTAATAGAGTATTAAAAATGGATTTTTCATTGAAATTATTATTTCTCTCTTTGTATAACATCACAATTCATATAATTTTGTTTTTTCTTCTACCATCTATAAATAAGAAAATCTGGAGGGAGCGTTTAAACTTGATATTTGAAATATTTATTTTTCGAACTATGTAGTGTTACTATTTGAGAATTTTAATCAAGTTTTTAAATGTGTGTTGGCGTTTGGCAACAACAAAAAAGTGTGTTAATGAAGGGTATTTGTAAAGGTAGAGTGTATTAGAATTCTCTTCACCTCTCTTGCTCTCCAAGAAAATGATATTCTTTAGACAACTTTCAGCAAAAGGCGAATTTTATTCTTCAACTTTTCTTCTTGTATAAGGTTTTATTTATTTATTGATTGATGGAACTAGATTCCAACATATCAAAAGTGACTCAACTTGTAGTTTTTAAGCTTTGGTGGCTGGGAAAAAAAAAGAAAAGATATGAAAAATATATTAAGGTGTACTTTACTAGTTTTGTAAACCATAAATTAAAAAGAAAGTATTTTGGGTTGACCAAAAAAAAAATGTATTTTGGAAATTTTGAATAAATCAGAAATTGTTGAGAAAAAAAAAATCAGAAATTATGATCCTTTTAAAAATTACTGAAACCCCCCTTTTAAAATTTTACGGTAACTTAAAAAAAAAACCATTTTAAACGGATGGTAGTTGACAAATATTCGGTGAGTCAATATATAATAGTCAATCGTCCGTATTTTCAAATGGGCCTAAGCCCAAAATCGTCGGTTCTAATTAATTTGTTGTTTGTCTCGATCATTAATCATATATAAATCGTTTTGAACTCATAATCCAACCAACATAACTAAATTAGCATCCCAATTGTAATCATATACTGTTTATGGTGGGAAGACTTCCACAAGATTAAATGAACAACAAAATGTCTACAACTACTACAATGAGCCTGCTAGTGAGTAGTGACGATCCATGACTTTTGGTAGTACAAATATAGTTTCATTTATAAGTACCAAGAGGAGCACATATGAAGAGGCGTCCTCACATGTATCTGCTTTCTTTCTTTCTGTTTGGGTAGAAATTTACATTCTCTAGATTCACCCGATCGTACACACTCACGATGACTGAAGAGAAGTTTCCCTTTCACGATCACCCTTTATCTTATGAGAAATTTGACAACTTTACTTGCATTTTGTGCAAAAAGAGAGGTGGATTCGGCTATTTCTGCGAAAAATGCTACTTTTGGGGGCATAAGGATTGCGTCGAGCGCTCACTCTTGCATCCATCTCCTTGCAAACATTCTCTCAAGATCTACGCGCTCGAGTCGTTGGACTACACGACCACTGTCATTTTTGTAGAGATGATCTTCTTGACGAGTTTTTTCATTGTTTGGTATGCAACATCAACATGGATCTAAAATGTTTGAAAGATCCACCACCACTCACCATTTATCACCCAGCAAACCACATCCATATGCTCAACCTTTTGCCACGAGTAGTCACGTTTACTTGTAATGCATGTGGTGAGGAAGGTAAACGTAATCCTTACTTATGTCTTGAATGCAATTTGATGTTCCACAAAGATTGTATATATCTACCACACGTTATATGCATCAATTGCATGATCATCACATCTCCCGCACTTCTCATATTGGTCCCGGAGATTGGAAATGTAGAGTTTGCCACCAAAAGATTAGTTGCTCTCATGGAGCCTTTCTCTGCTCGCGTTGTCCTAATTATGCCTTTCACTTGAAATGTGCAATGAAAGATCACGTGTGGGATGGATAAGAAACCGAAGATGAAATAAACGAAGAATCTGAAGAAGAAATCGAAGATGAACACGAGGAAGAACCCGAGGAATAAATCAATGAACCATGTAGCAAATGAAAAATAACATAATTAGCTAGTCATACGAAGTACCTTCTAAAGCTTGTTAATTCGGTTTATATTATTTATAATGTTCATATGTGCAACATTGTTTCTTTCCTATCAACGATGATGTAGTCTACAAATTTGCATTGGAAGTTTTTTTGCGCAATATTGAAAGGTCAAAGTTTTCTCTTTAGAATATCGTATTTTTTCCAGATTAACTTTTTTTAAGAATAAAGATATCATATCACATATCCCACATAACGTCGTGAGTTGGTGAAGACTATAGTTTTCACAAACCCAAAAAAAAACATTATAATTAATAATCTCCGGCCTTATTCGAAATTTAAATACCGCCGGCACCTTTAATAGATTATCAATCGAATATGTTCAAGGAAAAAAAACAGCAATCCGTTATAAGAAAACTTAATCTTAAAACAAGAAACAATTGAGATCAGCTAAAAAAAAAAACAACACAATCATAAAATAACCTTAAAACAAATTTCGAATATCAATTATTCATGTAAGTGCAAAACTGTTTAACGGAACTACTAAAGTAAGAATTGCTGAACGGTTTGAAAACGGCTTGTGTACAGTCTTCATCGATCTCAGCAATGGACTTGCAACATTCGGGTCCTATCGATATTTGACGGTTAAAGAATGACCCGAATATTTCCGCCATGCAGGCCTCTCCGTCTCCTAGGTCCGGAAAACACCTCCTAGATATCTCG